TGCTATTCGAGGCGGGTTTGTCATCAAGATGGTTCGGTGTTGAATGCTAGAGGAGCCGGTGATATGCAAAGGTAAATAAAATTATAAAAAGTTAAATTGTACCGTTCGGATTTGATCGTTTCACTTTATTGTTAAATGAAAAATGATGTCAGGCACGGAGAGCACGATTACGTTGAGATTCGTTCGTCGGCTAGTGAACGCGGTAGTGAATCGGCGCTGATGAAGTTAGTTTAAGTACGATTTCCTCTGATTTTCAACTCATTCTCAATCTCCATGTACCACTGGAACTTAATGGGACGGCGCAAACGGATGATTAATTGACTAAAGGGCTTGGGTTAAATTGACGGCATACCGCTAAAGAGAATAAAGTATCATCATTAAGGGATGGGAATCACTCGGAGCGACTTTCCGATTCAGCAGATCTGATTTTTATGAAACCGTCAAGCCATCGGTCTGTGCCCTGAACTTCCTATTCGTGAAATCTAAACTGAAGATAAAGATTTGGTCAAGAGCTTGGGATTACCAAAATGTTCCCGTAGTTGAAGGAGATCCAGCCGAACATGGGCTTTGACTTGTTAAAATTCTACACTACTTAAGTTTTCTTCTTAAGTGTGTCTAGGATCCCTTCCATCTCATAAAGAAAAGGGACTGAAAATTTCTCAGAAAAGGAAAAATGTTGTGCTGACAGCCACAGTTTGGTGAGGACTAGTGTACGTTTCCTAACATTGGCTGCGACAGTGAAGCAAACAATAATATTGAAGGAAGTGAGGAGTATACTATCTTCGTTATAGGACCGACCAACCGGATGTGGTGGCATCAGCACGGCATTCGGTCAGAACGCAAAGCGAACTGCATAAATTGCGCGATCGGGAGAACGTTTCACCTCCTCTGGATGAACTGGCTGCAGCTGCACTGAAAGCTTCTCAGTTTGACTAGAGTGTACCACTGGTGACAATCACGACTATTCATCCCGGCTGTAAGATGGCTTTGTGCGTTGTAAATATGGCATCGTTGGGGTCAAGAAAAACTGCATAATTTACGACTGTTCTGTTGTTGTTTTGTTGCCTTTGACTTTATTATACATATTGTATACGGATATTCGAATAGCGATCTGCGGCTTGTCTTTTTTCTGTTTCGTTCTCTGCCCAGACTTCATTGCCCTATGCCCCGTTGAATCGGAAATCTCAATTCTACCCTTGATTTTTNGTTTGACTAGAGCGTCCCGGCTGTAGATGGCTTTGTGCGTTGTAAATATGGCATCGTTGGGGTCAAGAAAAACTGCATAATTTACGAATGTTCTGTTGTTGTTTTGTTGCCTTTGACTTTATTATACATATTGTATACGGATATTCGAATAGCGATCTGCGGCTTATTTCTCGAACTCTTTTCTTTCTGTTTCGTTCTCTGCCCAGACTTCATTGCCCTATGACCCGTTGAATCGGAAATCTCAATTCTACCCTTGAACTTTTGTACGATTGTCCTATGTAGAAATTCCAGAATGATTTGAAGTTTTGTAAAAAGCATGGCGTATAGAACCAGCTGCAAGTCAATGAGACAGGTTTCAAGAGCAGTGGCTGAGCGTGCTGTAAGTGGGAGCTAGAACTCGACAATTCCCGGTTCGTGCCTCATTGGTTGAATGGTCGCCTGACAGTAGTCCACCAACGAGGATAGTTTTGGGCATTGCTGAGCTCATTCTCTGATTTTCAGTACCTGCCAAGAATATGGCTGATATTGTATAAAGCTTTGCAATAACTGTCTGAGTCCTGTAGGATTAAAAGGTTCTTCTCAATATACAAAAGTTTCCTTTGTAATTTTCTCAATTTCAAAGGCATTCCTCTCTAAAACTTTGTCAACCCAAAAAACTAGCCAAAATATCGCATAAAATTTGTCCTATCGACCATATCGTAGGCTGTGCCCTGATTGTTGCTCCTATCAGTGTCTGCCATTTGTGTACGTAAGGTGAACCTTTCTCTTTTTATGTTTTTTTGATCCGAGAATTTCTCAAATGTCATGTGAACCGTTTTTTATAAGCTGTCCCATTCGATTAATTCTCTAATCAATCGTCTTAATCGTGTTTGTTACGAAGGTGGTTTGGCGGGTGCTTTCTATTGCTTGTTGATGTGTGCTGTGTGTTTTCATTGAATTCATTTGTTATATATGAATCGAACAGAAGAATTATTTGTTTATTTTTATTTTTCTTCTTGAAAACTATTTCATTTTTCTTTTGTATGTCTTTATGTTTCCTATTATGGGATATTCCATTAATAAAAGTCTTTTAATATCCAGCTAAACTTGCTACACTGGTGTAACCGTATAAAATTTTGCAGCATTTTGGAAGGGTATCAATGTTTGTATGGCGTAGTTTCTGCAATTCTACAGAGAAAAGGTCCACTGAGCGTCCAGGATCTCTATCTTGAGCCATTACCCAGCTCATAGATGCCTTACCTATTAAGGAAAATTACAAATCAGTAGGGGTTGGCCAATGGTCCTACTCATCGTACCCACATGTTCACTGAGCAACTTTGGTTGATTACTGCCTGAGAAGTCGTCCATTTCCATGTATGCACCTTGACAGATCCCATTTATCATTCATAACGGTCTCAGAGAATTGATAGCTCGCCGAGTAAACAAATTGCCTGTTAAACACCAGAGGCCACTGTGTACTAATGCTAAGGATCCCAGAATTAATTGGCTGTATTGTCCGATTATACTCTCCAGCAGGATTTTCTAGATGAGTCTGCGCATTTGCATGGGTAAGGTTTATGGCAAATTTAGCCTCACGGTCGCATTTGGGTCGAAAATTTCAGCACTGGGTGCTCTAAGAGTTTTGTGGGATTCATAAAAATTTGCCATAATACGTGATATAGGTTTATATGATCGCAATAAGGAATACGGGTTCAAATGGCATCATACCTCATCGGAAATGTGCCTAGTGCCATTACCCTTGAAGATTATAATCACCCTAACGTCTCTTGTACGATTTCGAGCCAAAGAATTTGCAAAGGTAGCAGTAGAGGAAAGGAAGTGCAACCAAAGTAAGCCATCAGAAGAAATCTTCTTCCATATAGGCCGTGATTGGTGTTTCGGAAGAGGGAGGATTAATGAGTGCAGCTGCTCAGTTCTCACCTCCATTTGTTTTCATGTATGGATAGGCTTCAGTTTATATTCACGGTGATAGTCGCAATATAAATTAATGCCGAAAGAAAAAAAAAACGTTTGCATGGGGAATGACGTGAATGTGAAGCTAATGTATTTTGAATAAAAATGTAAAGCCTTCTAAAGCAACATGTTATGCTAGCAATGCTGACAATGCACCGGATCCAGCCTGTATGCCAGGACGCAGTCCATGTATGCATTCACGCATATACGGTTCTGAAAACAAGTTAAATGCGAGGCGTAATCCAGAATTAGTTAACGTCGAACGTTTGACTCCTTATTCATCATCTGAATTCCTCTCGAAATACACCTTTAGAAGCTGGCGATTTGCCAAACAAGCTTCATGAATAGAAGCTTCATGGAGCACTGAGAGCTTCTCATAATCATATATAAGTTTGAGCTGAACTGTCAGAAGTGTTTTGACAGTTCAGCCCAAGTTTGATCTTAAGGTCTTCTGGGTGCCCAAATTGGATCAATCATTAAGTCTTCTGTCACTGATGGCTAGAAAAAAGCGGTCATTTCGTCGAAATCGAGGGGTTGGCAAAAAATTCAGAGATAGTGTCAATGTGGAGAGCGCAGACAACGGGAATCAGCGCCGACAAAACGCTGGACCGACCTATCGACTGTAGATCAACCGTGGCGGGAACCTGGGAAAATTGAAGATCAAGAACAAAGTATTTTTTAATTTTTCTATACAAATCGTGTATATCTCTGAAGGGCTCTCGATTCTACTTCCAAATATGCATTTCGTTTTGCAGACCTTTAACGTTTGAGGGAGGAAAAGAACGAATCAAGCAATAGGTTCCTTAGGCTTTTGAAACTGAGAAGGTTAGAGGTCCTCCTTCCTGTTGGAGCATTTCTGATCCGAGAATTGCTGCCGTCTTTCAGATTGTTCAGTTGAAAACGAGTTGTTCCATTTTTTTGTCAACAACTGGATTTCATGAAGAGTGATTCTCATATTCGGAGTCAGAATAGAAGTTCCTCTAGAAATATATGGGTTTGTATAGCATATCCTTTGATTTCTGTTGCCATTCCCTTGAGACGATTGTTTTTCCTGAGCCCCTCCATGGCAGAGACCAAAGTTGTCCCTCTCACTCTCTTCTTTTGATAATTTGCCAACTTTAGATGAAGTACGAAGTAGGAACGATTGGATGATAAGCACGAGCACGCATTCTCTTCCCATATCAAGCAATTCAAAGATTAAAACACTCTGATTTCAAAGTGCAGGGTTCAAACAGCAGTCGAAACTCCGCCTTTAGTGCTCAGAACCCTAATCAAGGAGCAAGTAGGATCCTTGAGTAACTTGCAGTGACACTACTCGATCTCTTGATGATTACGCTTTCTCTATGTGTGGTGTGGACCTGCGGTTCGAGGGTACTGATCTGTGAAGCAGATTTTGAATGGTGTGTGAGAGTTTGACCTTTCTGTCCTCTTGAACCACTCGATTTTGTTTTAGACATTCTGTATGCAGAAGTGAATAGTTCGAAACCATGCTAACACCTGTTTGGCGTTAGTCTGCTCTACAGTTGTTGTATTTATCGAGAACTCCCTTGAGTATGAGTACGTTTCCGAATAGAATGCTGGGGCATGGCGCACTCTGAAAGCTTTATAGTTTATCCTTTCAATGCTCGTAAAATATTTCTAGCGTCACGAAATTTCAAGCAATTCTTTTCATCATCTAATGATCAGATCTTTTTCAGATATGTCATCCGCAATTTCACCGTTTAGTAAATTGCTAGGTAGCTCGATTCGCAGCTTGGAGGCGATCGTGAGGCCGTGCGCATCCGTTCAGGTAAAACTTGTAGTAATCAATTCCATAAAGGATTACAGTTCTGACTTCTGTGAATGTTTTTATTTTTATGACGTAGTTGAATGATGGATTGCCCCACTATACATAGTGATATTGTTGATTGATAGGGGCTTTCCTTTCATGCCATTGGTCTTTTTCGAGCCGGAATAATCCGAACGAGGGCCTGGTAACATTGGGGTTAATTTAGGCGTTAGATCAATAATAGTATAAATAAAAGATCTGGGTGAACAAAAGAAGTTGGTTTTTGGCAAAGAAGTCCTGCTACTTGAAGATTTTCAGTCTTTTCACCCAGACCAATCGGTTTCTCCCACATCTCCCATTTCAATAATGTCAGGTTTATGGGCCAAGAGTGTTTTTAGAATCGATCATATCCTCCAGTTGAACCAATGGAAGGAGCATGTTGTGGTCAAGGATGTTCGAATTGTGTATGGGTTGTTTATGCCCAGGAACTTATCGATTACTATCGTGAGTATATTTTATGAGTTTTCCCGAAAGTTTTATGCTGAACGGGGTGATCCAAGTAATTTACTCTGGAGACTGTTCACTCTAGCATGTTTTCTGAATTTTTTTTTCTCAAACTGAACTTAGATATGCAATCGACCCGACAACCGTCTGATGAACTTGGGCTTGGAGTCGTCGCTTCAATGGTCCCTTCTGATTCTGGTGAACATATTTCTCAGAGAATCTATGCTTGCTACCGAATTGAATGCCTCACTGTAGAATTTCAAAATGTTTGAATCTGTTGTGGAGAAGCTTACTAAGTTGCATGCAATGAGTCAACCATATCCCCGACGAAGCTGAGGCAACGGTGGGTGGCGGTGCTATTGCACAGTGGAATGTGAAGCACAACCGAGATCTAATCTCGCCGAGGCTAATCGTGGTGTATTGGATAAGAATGGATGCAGTGGACTGAACGGGCTTAAGGGTTCGATTCTAGGATGAAGCGATGCTTTTGCTCTTTTCTGACAATATTAATGAATGAAAGATAGTATTTAACAGAACATAATCCATTACTGCATGATCACTGCATGTGCTTTATTATACGTTACTCACGTTAATATTTATCTATTTTCATGTCGTGATCGACTGGACGAAACAATCAGAGAGATCGAAATGAAGGTCCCAGATCAGAATGTTCGAGCCTTCGTACTCAGCGAACTACGTTCGAAATGGAATCGGTCTTGATCTTTGTTAACGGTTGTACTCCTTACAATATACTACTTAAATATAGCCATTAATGTTGCTCACCGGTTACCTCTAGGTACTAACGGCATTATCCAGCCTCGTCTCCTTTGAAACCATCTCAGAGATGATTGTGACATCCACTTTCGACCGCCCATATCTATCGTTCTTAGAAGATCGCTAGTATCGCTAGTACAATCAGGAAGCCAAGCCAGGGTCATGTGCGCGGTGAGGAAATCCTTCTGGGATTAGGAGAGGGAGAAAGTGGCCGTTTTAGCCATTCCCTAAACTAGAGGATAGTTGAATGACATAATCCTTTTTTTCATCACCGTCGGTGAGGCTTCCGCAGAGTCCAAAGGAGCTTAGGAACGTGGAGCTCACAAAAGCATCAAAAATTTGTGTTGGAGCGATTCTGTACCGCCAAAGTTGACCCTGAATCAGGCTTCCCCCTTCTTAAAACGGAATAGGTGGCTTTTAGATGACCTGTTCGATGTCAGACGATAGCCTTGATAGCCTGCGAGTGTTTCGAAAGATCGGAGAATCCGTTTGAGGAAATAAATACATAGTGATTTTGAGGATAAAGCAACCGCTGGTAAGGCAGCAGGGACTTGACCGAATCCCAAACCGTCGGTAGGACCATTGTGATCTTTTCTCTGGATTCTTCGGTTTGGCGAAATCGCAGACTACTGACTATACTACCTAAACTAGCCCCGCTCGGTAATGATTCTCTAGTACTGAATTGTGTTCACTTGAAATATTTATTTAATGTAGATATAAGTAAGATAGAAACCTTTGATTTGTGAATAGAGAAAAGCCGCCGTCTTTGTTCGATCTTATAACTTTTTCTCTAGTACAATTCAGTCAGATGTGCTTGGTACGTTCACGTACTGTCGTTGTTTAATCGGACATGCCATTACTCCTAACTGTCAATAAACTGATCAAATAGGAAGTTCTGAGACCGATTCAGATAGTAGGAACTGATAGCAAATGATAAGGATGACAAAGGATCTCAAAAAAGAACAATAAACAGGGCCAGAGAGAGATTTAATTACTAAGGCACCATTGGCATCAAATATTAAGATAAGCAGATCGTTTTCCATAACAATGGGCTTTAAAAAACATGAAGATTAACTCCGTTCGAATCAAACATTCTGGGAAGGAGGCGAAGAGCTTGGGATTAGGAATGCCAGAGGTACAGGAGAACCTCTGGAATTCCTGATCCCAAGTTCTTCGCCTCTTTCCAGAGCTCGACCATCTGGAAAGTGGCATACATATTTGAAATCAGAATCGATAGCTCTATAGGAATATACATGATTTGTATAAAAAATCTAAAAAGTACTTTACTCTTGATCTTCACTTTCCTAGGTCGCCGCCGGGATTGATCTACAGTCGATACCGTCGGTCCCTTGTTCCATCGGCGCGGTTTCCGTGGTCTGTGTTCTCGTAATTGGCATTATCTCTGAATTTTTTGCAACCCCCTAGATTACGACCGCTTTTTCTAGCCATCAGTAGCAGAGGGCTTGCTAATCGATCCAATTTGGACCCCAGAAGACCTCATGATCAAAACGACACCGTTTCTTTCAGTTCAGCCCAACTTGTATGTGGTTGCGTAGAGCCCTCGGCATTGATTCCATTCACGAAGTTGATTTGACAACTCGCCAATTTGGGAACGAGTTATTCCGGAAGAAACCTAATTGTCCTAGTCGAGAATTGAGAATGATTCGCTTTCTTTGGTTAATCGCATTAGGAGAACCAGATGGTGCAAGGTAAGGTAATCGAATGAGTGGAAGTATACCGGAACCGGACTTACTTTGTCCCAGGTATGCCGCCGTCAATTCCCGCATCAGTGATAAACCTGACGGTCTCGGGTTTCGTGGGTGGAAACGATTAAATTGACCAGCACTTTCTTTGATAGCTTACTGTCCAACGATACTTAAGAGGTAGTTGCATCATCGTTAGATACAGAAGGAGGGTTGTCTGCTAGCTCAGCTCATTTGGCCATCTTCTGGTAAAGGTCTTGTAAGGATATTCTAGAGAGATGAGTCATATTACATTTCAGCATTGAGTTACTTATTCAAAACTAAAAATAATGATAGCTCTTACAGTACTTTGCTCTCCTCTGATGGTGAGGTACCGACCCCTTCCGATACTCTCTGAGACATTTAAGGATTGAAAGCGAGAAATAGAGAAAAAACCGAAGAAACATGGAGAAGAGAGGGTTTCAGGATCAAACTATTGGTTAGACCATACACAATATTTACTTAAGTACCCTTTGAGAATATTCCTGAGCGCCGCAATGCCCTAAACCCGTGGGATTTTGCAAGAGGGTGTTCACGCTTTCGGAAGTGCAGTCGTATTGATCGAACCCTTGTTGATATTCAGATGCATTTAGCTTTCCTGTGACTGAAGTCCTTTTTCGTTTACTAATCGGTTTACTTCTTTTTTCGTTAGGAAGCAATGCATATCAAGAGGCACAGTGCTGTTCTCACACTATTTAAGCGGGCTTTAGCCAGCCTTAGTCATCTGGATGGAATCTTAGCTCACACATTGGCTCACAACAGTGTGGCCGACTATTACACAGTATTATAAATTACAGTCATTATTTACAGTTGCCCGTACACGAGATCGCCGTGATTTAACTCCACAATGTGAACACATATATCAATTTTTATACATTATACAGAACAAATTATATGTCATTAATAAACCCGTAAAACAGAAAGAACATCATCAATTAGAACTGAACTATTGAATGGGATTAGCAGTAGACAATGGTCATATCCCAACCTGGTTCCATCTCGAGTTCTTCGAGGTGGCCAGGGGGTTGTCGTAAAAGGCGGTAGGTACGGTAAGTCTGAGGGCAAGTACTAAACGAAAGTTTGCAGTAAAATACGCTCTCGATCAAGATTTCAAGGCCTCAGACCGAGAGCTCTTGCCGCCATGCTCATTTTCAAAGATACCGTTAAAAAGGATAAGGAAAGTTTCCCTGTTACCCAATAATTACATGGACATTCATAAACTAAACCTAGTTCCTAACTTTTTAAGCTTTGCCAAGAAACCACCCACGTACGTTGAAAAACATCTCTCGGGAAGGTTAACGGTGAAGTAAACCCGTCCTTTCCTCGTCTCCTAATGTGCGAAAGTGGTTCCGTAACTTCGTATCTGTCCTTTGCAACGATTTTTTTGACAACTTCACGGAAACCTCTTTTACTCTGATTTTATGCAGACAGTCTCCGTCAGTAGGCTTACCGTGCCCACTGCCCTCAACGAGAAATTGGGAGATTTATAATTTTCTATAATTTACACTCGATAATCGAACTCTCCGTCAGCAGCCAGCAGCTGTGGTAGAGTGGGCGTGCAACTAATCAATATCTACATATTGCATTGCGACCTGTCCACTCGAAATGCAGTTTGACTTGAGAATACATTGCTTATATGATATTTCTGTTCAAGGCAGTTTTTTGGCTTGAATTATAGCAAGAATAAATTCACTGAGGAAGAAGAGAGCTACTACAAGAAGGCTCTACCAGTGACTTAGATACTGGATTGGAAAATATGGTCAGCAGCAATCTTTTCATCTCGGGACAGTAATCAGCAAAATTTCAAAATGTTTTTTGAAAAATCGGAATTATCCACAATCTAGACAAGCAATCCAGTACCCGTGATTACTGGCATTGTAGGTGATTGGGGCCTATTGGTGATCTGATATTCCCTAATCGAATGGTAATGCCCGATAACTGTATGACCGCCATTTTTAGACTCGCCATTGAAATTACTTCTGAAGCCTGAAGTACCGGCTCTAGGATGATAGTCTTCATCGTGCATGAATCTTATCCCTGGCGATTCGATCGCTCTCGTCTCAGGGGATATGTGATGATCCATTTGTTGTGAAGTAGGCGAAGGCAACGGTCTCCGATACGGCGATTGTATGAAGTTTGGGTCTGAACGGTTCGGGTCCGGATTTTCAGTAACCAAAACTGGAGCCATCGACGTAGGTATAGAATCCTGAAATGAATAAAGAGATCCATTTGAAGATCATAGATATAGATTGTTCATTGTGACATCTTCTTAAATAGCGCCTACTCCCTTGCCCACAAAAATTGTTCCGGGTTGACGACTGGATTCCTCCCAGTTTTTCCATCCTCGCCCCCCCCCCCNAACAGAAGAATTATTTGTTTATTTTTATTTTTCTTCTTAAAAACTATCCCATTTTTCTTTTGTATGTGTTTATATTTCCTATTATGGGATATTCCATTAATAAAAGTCTTTT